AATTTTATCACAGGTTATGAACGCTAGGAATTTTCGTCAAACGCCGTGATATACATTCTAGTTGTTTCATTTCATAACGAGGAGGTAGCAGGGCTGTGAATCCTGGTCGTTTCTTGGAGAAAGTATATGCTAATGATGATGTTCGTAAACACCCAATAGATAATATCTTAGAGATGAAACTAGATTACTGGAAAATTAAAAACTCAAACTAAAGATGCACTTTCTAACTAAATGTCATGTTACAGTGACCTGGCCAAAAATATGACCGAGTTTGATTTACCACTTAGGCAGTATCAAACGTTGTATGACTTGTGTTTGTTGTTGTTCACAGGGGAGGGGGGAATATTTTTCGGACTATGTTCACATATATACAAGGTAAACAATCCATTTTATTCTGCAGAATCGTTTTTGAACTCACATGGAAGTAAAAAAAAACTACCGTTCGTAAACGAAACTTCAATGTACTATTACAAAGACAGTTTGATGCAAATCAATAGTAAAGCTTTAATACTTCAATAAATGACAGATTGACAAGTTTGTCAATTTAAAGGCGTTGATAAATTTTTTTTAATACTATAGTCAGAAACAAGTTAAAACTACAAAAAGTACACAAGTTAATTCGATCATTTAATGTACGCAACAAACTGGAACAATATTACGTATACGCCTGAATCTGTGTCCTAAAATGTATTTTTATGTAACATGACAATATTTTTTATGACACAAGTCAATAAAGACGAGATACATAAAGGGAAAAGTAAGATTCTCCGATGCAACACAACATGCACCAAACCAAATCATTCTTGATGGACACGCCTTTGAGGACTTTAAAACCTTTACATATCTGAGCAGTATCATCGACAATCAAGCTCGATCCGATGCAGATGTGAAGGCACGGACCAGCAAAGCAACGGCTGAATTTCTACAATTGAAAAATATCTGCAACTCCAAACAAATATCAATCAACACCGAAATCAGGATTTTCAATACAAATATCAAGACAGTTCTACTGTATGGAGCGGAAAGTTGGAGAACTACAAAAGCCATCATCCACAAGATACAAGTGTTTATTAACAGTTGTCTAGGCAAAATACTTCGGATTCATTGGCCAGACACCATCAGTAACAATCTATTGTGGAAGAGAATAAACCATATTCCAGTGGAGGAGGAAATCAGGAATAAGCGGTTGAAGTGGATAGGACACACATTGCGGATATCACCCAACTGCGTCACAAGACAAGCCTTCGTTCGGAACCCTCAAGGTCCAAGGAAATGAGGAAGGCCAAGGAATACACGAGAAATAGAAAAAGACATGATAAGAATGAACAAAACATGGACAAAACTGGAAAGGGAAGTCCAGGAAAAAGTTGGTTGAAGAAAACTGGTGGGCGGCCTATGTTGCATTGGGGGTAACAGGCGAAAGTAAGTAAGTATTTTAGAAATAATTCTCATCATCAATAATCTAGTTAAAATTATGTTTCAGTTAATTAAGTATATATATATATATATATATATATATATATATATATATGTGAACACAAAGTTATACCAATATATATATATATATATATATATATATATATATATATATATATATATCGACCAGCTTACATGAGTTGTGTTACTGGCTAGTTCGCATTTCAGTGGTATCCAAAAATCGTAGTGAAAATATTGGTGGAATTCATTTTGTAAAGGATCAATTACAAGCAAGGCATTGTTGACCAATTATAAATGAAGGCAAGGATAAATCTATTAGAATAAATAAACTCAATGGATGGAAGGAAGGAAGGAAAGAAGGTAGCAAACGAGCAAAATAGGTTGGAGATTTTTGTATGACAGTGATTATGTATGTCAAACAGAAAGAAAACACACGAATATAAATTCATCTAACGTCTATATGCAAACATATACATTTATCGAATAAAAGTGTTCATGCTCGATAATTGCAAGTCTCGTTTAACTGATAGGATTTTCAAAAATGAACTACTATTTTAACTATAGAGTTGTAAAGAATGTTGAGTTTCATTGAAATGTGCTCACTAGGGACTAGCCTCGTGAGGAGATTCCCGAAGACTCAGTTAGAAGCCGTGACCAGTGGAGTTCAACCCAATCGGCTGCTGTAACCAATGGGTGGGTTTGCGCAATATCAGGGATTGATTACAGTCAAACATTAACACCGTTGGATGCCTGCTTGATGGTCTAAAGGTTAAGCGTTTGCACGCCACACAGAAGATCCTGGGTTCGATTTCCGCGTGTGGGGTCGTGGATTCACACTACTGATGAGTCCCATACTAGGATGAGACGGTCTTCGGTTCTTCCAGGTTTACAATGATGGTCTAGCAATGATAGATTCATCATTTTGACAAACTACTACGTTTGTATTCTACAAAGGTTTATTAAACCAAATGAAGTTACCATAAGAAAATGAAGAAAAGGCTTATAAAGTTAAACCAGAAAAGAACAAATACCAATTAAATTGATGTATTATAATTTTTACGGTTAGTTTTATCTTTATAGGTTTGTAAACAGTGTAGAAAATGTTTTAGTATGTTTGGATTTCGGTTGGTAGTTTGAATAAAGAACCGACATTTATCCTGTTCAAGACTAGTCAGTTGCGTTTTCGTGTTCATGTAAACACTTCCAATTAAATGCAGTATTTATTGTCTTAAATCATGACAAAAACTGATTAATTGAAGTACTGAATAAGAATAAATAAAGTATGAATAACATTGAAGAGAAGCAGAGTAAACTGGTAGGATGTGCAGTTAAGCCTTGATTTTAATCATCAAAGTAGTACAAGTAATCAATGTTAGTTAATATAAAATCAGTCCAATGGTTTTGTATGGGAAATCTGTTTACTACAAGTGATTCTTGTATTCGTTTCTAGCAAATTAAGGTCAGAAAGATAGTAATGGAAGAATTTAGTTTTATGTTTTACAAGCTTGTAATATGTTAAATATTCCAAATTGAACTTTCAAGATGTTTGTAAAACTGTGGTTGGTCAAAAATAATTTCAAAAAATAAATTCTTTACATTGACAGGATGGACTGAAAAATTCCCGATTCAAGGATCAGCCAGAAACGAAGTAGGACTTAGAATGGTTATTTAGCTATCCGAGTTTTTAAACTTCACGTCAACCCAATGAAGGTAAATTAATACCTATAATCACATAACTGAGGTTTATAGATTACTTTTAGTTTTCATGATCACACTTTCAAACGCGAAAACATGAGACATTGAGGATGGGCACCCATCACACTTTAGCTTCTAATGGGTAGAGGGATTTTGTACACGGAACGCACATGTATCAAGTTCCCAAAGTCAAATATAATTTACATATAAACACTAGGAATTCGTCAGTTGCCAACTGTTTACTGATGATGGGACTATTGTTTTTAAGTATCAAGTGAATGGTTGATCTATAGGTTTATTGACCTAAATCTTGATCATAGCTGCTACCTCGACGCGATGGTTAAACAAGCTAATTATAACAACATAATTAACCTCGATTGGTTCTTGTGATTTCACTATGCTAAAAAGATCCACCGTTGACTCCAGTCACTCATGTTAAATTAAGAAGCTCTGAGCTTGATATCAAGCACATAAGGTCTTCACGCTACCGAACGTAATTAAAATAGCTATTGAATTATTATTACGAACAGAATAAACAAACACCTTTCAAAAACGATATAGTTCTAAATTGTTATACTATTTCGAGTAAGTAGGATTAAAACTCTATCATAAAACATTACAAATTATCCTTCACGTTACAATGACAATACTGTAGGTACATCAGATTTGATTTTCTAAAGTATCTATGTTGTATAGCAGCTTCAAGTACTTTTTAAGACTTCTCTTGGTTAAGTTGATGAGAAATTATAAATGCTTTAAGAGTATTTTGTTTGTTTTGAGAGTTTAGAATTACATAGACAAATTATCACTAAATTAGATTAACTCTCAACTACAATTCTTTAGAACTGTACACATATTATTCGCGGTTGAATGATTGTGTTCGATTTCAGTGTCAAAAATTTTCAGCAGTGATTTAATACCCTTACTGCTGTGACAAATAAGCGAATATTGTGAATGTTGATGTTATCACAACGAGTTTAGTTGGTACCAAAAAGTAATCTTTGATAGCAATTAACATCTATGTCATTTTTTCCCTCGCTAACTCCAAACATGGCAAAAACAAGGGCTGCATTTCTACAATTTAAAAATATCTGGAACTCCAAACAAATATCAATCAACACCAAAATCAGAATTTTCAATACAAATGTCAAGACAGTTCTACTGTATGGAGCGGAAACTTGGAGAACTACAAAAGCCAACATCCACAAGATATGAGTGTTTATTAACAGTTGTTTACGTAAAGCACTTCGTATTGATTAGCCAGACACCATCAGTAACAATCTATTGTGGGAGAGAACAAACGAGATTCCAGTGGAGGAAAAAATCAGAAATAAGCGGTGGAAGTGGATAGGACACACACTGCGTAAAGGACCATACTGCGTCACAAGACAATTTCTCACATGGAACCCTCAAGGCAGAAGGAAAAGTGGAATGCCAAAGAACACACTACGCCGAGAAATGGAGAAAGACATGAGAAGAATGAATAAAAATTGGACAGAACTGGAAAGGGAAGTCCAGGACAGAGTAGTTCTGAGAAAACCGGTCGGCAGCCTGTGCTCGATCGGGGGTAACAGACGTAAGCATGTAAGTAACTCTAAACATGTGACTGAACAACCTCACCACAACTGACAATAAATCATGTATTAACTGGAGTTAATTTTCACTGTAATGAAAACCATTGTTTACATCACAGATACTAATTTATAAAAAAACATATATATATAAAACAGAGAAGCACTTCAAACATTTTAAGATACCATTTCATTGATAATGATAATGGCAATAAGAGTAATACACTGAAAATGTTATCTCATCAAGAAAGAAATCAACAAACAAACAAAAAGAACACACTTCAAAACATAACTTACTTCATCGAATTTTCCTTGACTTTGACAAAGTAATGCTAAATTATTCAATTGTTTTGCAACATCCAAATGATCTGCACCTAATAACTATGTCAAGTAGACAAAGTAGAACAAAAATAATACACAGAAATGATACACATGAGGTGTAGCATCAAAATAAACAAATAATTAAAATCATTCACTTAAGACTGATTGATTGATTGATAGAATTTGATTAGTTTGGAAAAAAACACATCGTTTTTACCAACGATAGGAATAAATATTCAAAATCCGTTAGCATTGAGCTGACTGACTATTAGGTTTTAGTTAACAGTTTCACTATTGTTCATAAGTAATTTACTTAAAGTTTGATTGGTTGAAATATCAAATTAGAAGTAATAAAAGAAACATATTCAATGCACATTGAACAGCTCGATGTAATAATGAACCGACTGCAGCTAAACAAATCAATGTATCAATATAATGTGTGAATGCGATGTAAATAGTCTTTACAATTGAGCTATTGATTAGCCTCTGCCACACCCCCTCAAACTACTGATAATACAAGAGAAAGTCAAAGGTTAACTCTACACCTCAACTAACAAAGATATATGAAGAGAAAACGGCATACGGTATGTTTAAACATTTTTAAGAGTGCTCTGGAGAATCACTTATCTAGGATGAAAGTCCCATGATGAAGTTTGATTTAACGAATGCAAACAAGTTAAGCTTTCAAAATGGTAATTTTTAGAAGGAATCCTACTTTGGCTGACTTGTGTAAAATGTTCACGAAGCATTGTAATTGTCGACTACCTGGTTGTGGTCCGCGAAATGATAATAATCGATGGTTAGCGACCCTGAATGACATGGCTCAAAATCGTTTGCAATGGCGCCGGCGCATTTATTCTTTGCGTTCTCTCAAATCCTAATCTTCTAAATTCTTCAACACCTCTAGTTTTGACTTTCTAAACTTTTCTCATTTAATCATACTTCTTGAATAATATCTTCTAATAACTCTTCTACTATTGGATTTGAATTGACAATTACATCTCTGTGCTGATGTGGTATGGCGACATGAACTGATGTACTTACGTACGAAGTTCTACGTTGTAACTGACTGACTGACTGATTCAATGACTGCATGATTCAAGGACTAACTGTAAAGCCTAAAGGATATGATTTCAAGAGCGATCCATGGTTAAAAAAAAGCAATAAGTATTTCTTGGCCAAAAGGAGACATAACTACTATACAATGAATATTGAATGCTAGTGCTTATTCAATTGAAAATTGAACTCATATTGGATAACTTTACTACTATTCACTAAACATAACAATTAATTTCAATCGTTAGTACTTTACTAACCATCAGTCAGTCAGTTGCAATGTAGAACTTCGTACGTATATACATAAGTTCATGTTGCCATACCACATTAACACAGAGACGCAAATGTCAAATCAAATCCCATAGTGATAGAGATAGTAGAGGTATTAATGGTAATAAAGAAGACTAGGGTTTGAAGATATGATTCAAGAAGTATAATTCAGTGAGATAAGGTTAGAAAGACAAATGTAGAGGTGCTGACGAATCCAGAAGATTAGGATTTGAGAGAGCACAAAGAATGGATACACTTGCGCCATCGCAAATGATTTTGAGTCATGATGTCGTTCAAGGTCTCTATCCATTGGTAACTTTACTAGCCATAGTTTAAAAAATAAGATTTTATCTCACTAACAAACATATTCACTGAACCTAGATAGTGTTGAGAATATTGATAGAAAAAATCAATCATCTTAAGCGTTCATTTGAAAAAAAATATCAATCGCACTAAGCAATGTCTATCATTCACGCCCAACGATTCCTATTATGAAATGAAGTAATGTACTAACTAAACAAATAGGGAGTTTTCAATGTAAAGATAAATTTTTTTAAAAAAAATGAAATTTTAACAGTAAATAAATATTGAAGTATAATAATGAAAGTAAATTGTAAATCATTTAGCAAACAATTTATGTACTCCAGTTTAAATAACAGACAATAAGGTTCACTGTGACGATACATACATAGATACCTAAACTAAATCATTTGAAGGAAATGCCATTTCTAACAGTTAGAAGTCTGATACTTCTTAAAAAAATAAGTTTCAGACATTTAAAAATGTAGATCAGTAAATTTTATAAGGATTTATGAATCAGACTAGTGTGCTCCATGCATAATTGTAAATATGAATTCTAATAGTTTGATAGTCATATATACGAAAAGTAGAGAACCTGAAACATATATACGTAGGATTCGATTGCGTCGAATTCGATTTTTTATGAGAAGTTTTTAGTGTTGGCTCCGCTATTCAAATGGCCTTACTGCCGGAGACAGAAATCCGTGGTGTAAGGTAAGGTGTGACATTTTTAGGGTCGACCTTTTATAACCCCTTCGTTCCTTGTGAGGAGGCAAGATCGCTGTAGATGTTGGTTGTCCGAGAGAAACACAATATTGCTGTCACACTCGTCTACAATCAGAAGTATGACTTTGCCCTCAGACAGTGAGTTCCTGCTTCTTGTCTTACTGTTCAGCGTGCTTGGCATGGTAGGACCCAAAGGAACATATGTTCCAGCCCAGATAAATCGGTTCAGTCAGTCAGTCGCAACGTAGAACTTCATCAGTTCAGGTTGCCATACCACATAAGCACAGAGACACAACTGTCAGTTCAAATCCAAAAGTGATAGCGATAGCAGAATTATTAGCAGTAATGCAGAAGATTAGGGAGCGAAGATATCATTCGAGAAGTATAATTTAGTGAGATAAATTTAGAAAGAGAAAGATAGAGATGATGAGGAATACGGAAGATTAGGATTTCAGAGAACATAAAGAGTGGATGCACCTGTGCCATTGCAAACGATTCTGAGCCATGACGTTCAAGGTCTCTAACCATCAGTGACTTTCGTCTCGCGGACCCCAACCAGGTAGCCTACATCTACCAACATGACTCAGTCCACTTGTCAGTGACTTCATGGATTTCTGCCATGTTTTGGTTTGGCCGCCCCTAACTTTCTTCCAACCTACTCCTACACCACAAAACAAAGCTCGTCAAGGCAGTTGGTGGTTAGGCATTCGTAACACATGTCTCAACCACTTCAACTGATGAAGTTTCAATACTTCATCTACTGATCTGTCATCCTTACCTAGAACCCGTTTCTTTATGGCAGCATTGCTCACTCGGTTGTCCCACAATACTCGAGCAATGCTTCTAAGACATCTATGATCGAGTACTAGTAACCTACGAATATCTTCTACTCTCACTGGCCATGTTTTGGATCCATATAGGAAAACGGAGCGAACTGCTGCGCAGTACACTCGCGTTTTAGCCAGCAAACGGATATCTCGCCTACGCCATAAATGACGCAAGTTGGCAGAAGCCAATCGAGCCTTCTGTATCCGAGCTGAGATTTCGTCAGTCACCAGGCCATCAGCACTGATCAGACTCCCCAGATAAGTGAAGCGGTCGACACGCTCAACTAAGTCACTCCTTATCACTAGTTCAGGTGCCTTTGCAAGCCAATCTAGAAGCAACATTTTGTATTTCGAGGGGGAAAACCGCATCCCGAACTTGCTAGCATTGTTGCTCAGGATAGTCAGAAGACTCTGCATTTTTTTCAGCAATATAGCTCGGTTGAGTCATCACGACAGGCAACCCCGACCACCACTTAAAGACAGCAGCTACGGTCGGGATAGGTTATTATCAAATCAATAGTATAGGTATGCAACAGGACGAAAAAGATTTACTATTCAGCATTACTAGATTGCATCCACACTTACTGATACTGTAATGAATTTCGCATTTTTTTTTGTTTAAGAAGTTTAAAAGTCCAATTTTCGAACTTACTTATATAAATAGTTAAATTTTAGAGATTTTTTCAACTGAAAATGTGCATTCAACCTAATCAAATCACTGGAAATTATCAGATTCTAAAAATCAAATGTAACTTAACCAACTCGGTAACATTTCAACAAACAAAAATATCCAACACAAACACTTTGAAACTAGAAGTAATCATTCAAGCGAATAAATAATTCTATAAGTAATATATGTTTTACTTTTTACCGAATATCCTCTAATGCTGTGATAAAAGTGAAATTTTGAAAAGAGTATAGAAGAGAGACAGAGAGAGAGAGAGAATTATTTAACTCTTTCGATTGAAATAGAATTTCGGTTTATTTTCTCGCCTCACAAAATACAATTTTACTAAATAAGAGGAATTCAAGACAATATATATGTACACATACATAACAGAAAAGCAAGGAGATATTATGCAACCAGTCTCGAAAATTTGATATAACCAGGAAAGTGAATGGTACAATCAATCAATCAATACACCGCATTGATTCAACCAATAAAGAGAAAACCTTGTCATATTCATATATAAGTAGTATAAACATATCGACAGAATGACTAAAATGACGAAAAGAATAGAAAACGACGCAAACAGTACATTTCAAGCAGTGTTACTATTTTTAAAATAAACACTTGAATAATTCAAACAGAGAAGAAGGGGAAATTATTTAACATTATTAAAAATTAAATTGAGTGATGAAACTTATTGGAGGAATAAAATAAAGTTGATTTAAACATTTAATGTAAACATTTCGAACTGATTGTGATAGAAATAATTAGTTGCATGCTGTTGTTGTGTGAATGAATGCAATAAGAATAATTTGTGGTTTAGTAATTTTAAAAAAAAAACATGAGACTTTGGAGAACTTTTTCCATATTCTAATCCACTGAATTCAACACCTGTGATGAAGAGTCAGATGAAACGGTCATTCAGTGCTTCGACGCTTTCAATGGCTGTTCAATCAATATTAGTCCATGATCTCAATGAAATTCAACGATTTTAATAACCCTACACTGATAACAGTTGATCGTTGGTCTTAGCAACCTGGGAGAATCTCAGAGCCCAAGGGACAACTGCTTGAGACCGGCCACACACGGCATTTTTATGGGAAGTTTTAAAAGTTTCGGCTGCGCTCTTATTTAAAAGGCCCAACCACCGGAGATGGAAAGCCGTGGTGTAAGGTAAAGTGTGACGCTTTTAGGGTCGACCTTTTCTAGCTCCGCACTTAATTATGAGAAGCCAGAATCTCTATAGATGCTGGATGTCCGAGGGAAACACACCCGTCTACAATCAGTAGTATGACTTTAACCCCCAGATCTTGAGTTGCGGCTTCTTGTCTTATGGTTCTTTAATCGACATGCTTGGCATGGTAGGACCTAAAGGAACATATGCTCCTGCCAATATAAATCGGTTGGGTCGTTACGATAGCAAGCCCAACCACCACGTCAAAATAGCAGCTACGGTCGGACTGATAAAAGCTAAAATTGACTGGTATTTATTATCTTGAAAATGAAGTTAAATAAAGAGGCAGGTGATTACATAAATGGCGAGAAAATAAAGATTTTCGACGAACGAGTCAGTCAGTCAGATGCAACATAGAACTTCGTACGTAAGTACATCAGTTCATGCTGCCATACCACATCAGCACACAGATATAATTGTCAATTCAAATCAAATAGTAGTAGACGTAGTTAAGGTATTAGAAGTAATCGGAGAGGTTAGGATTAGAAGATATTATTCAACAAGTATGATTCAGTGAAAAAAGTTTAGAAAGTCAAAAGTAGAGGTGTTGAAGAATACAGAAGATTAGGATTTGAGAGAACACAAAGAATAAATACACCGGCGCCATTGCAAACAATTTTGAGCCATGTCGTTCAAGGTCTCTAACCATCGATTATTATCATCTCGCGGACCACAAACAGGTAGTCGACAATTACCGATATGGCTAAGTCCACTCGTCAATGACTTCATGGATTTCTGCCATGTTTTGGTTTGGCCGCCCCTAACTTTCTTCCAACCTACTCCTACACTACAAAACAAAGCTCGACGAGGCAGTCGGTGGTTGGGCATACGCAACACATGTCCCAACCACCTCAAGTGATGAAGTGTCATTACTACGACGAACGAGTAGTAATTAGATCACTGCTGAGTCGACGTGAAGTCTAAATTAACATATGGATTGAACCTCAATAGATTTCTTTCAAAATATACATTACAACGAACTATGTAACTAACAAATTTCAAAACAATATAGTTAATTGTAAGTGAAAATGAGAGGTTTATCATAACGTCATTGTTGTATAAAAAAATTCAGGTCGAAAGCGTTTAATGGCAACAGCCTATATAAAGTAGATTAGAAGCAACATTAGCTGCTTGTTCCTCACACTTTATTTAAAGACATCCATAAATTTGAACGTGTTATTAGCAATTAATAAGACTTGTCAAAACTTGAAATACTACAACGTTACTTTATCAGCAAAAATGTCATTTCTTTCAATTCTTTGAAATTTCGTGACATAAAATATAGGCTAGTGGAAACCTGCAACTAATACGCACTCATTATTTATAAGTACAAATGTTAGTGCAAATGTAAGCAGGAAAAAATATATATATACATATTTACATACTTTTTCTCGTATACTAAGCGCTCGTCGACATAATGGTTCAGCTTTAGTAAATCGACCAGCTTTAGCATATAAAACTGCTAAATTGTTTAAAGCAGCCGCTACCTATAATAAAAATTAAAAAAACAAGGAGATATTAAACAGAGCGGAGAGAAAAAACAACAGAAGTTAGAACAACGCGCAAAGATTATACTTACTAGCAATGCCGATACCATGAAAGGAAACTACAAAAACTTTATTGTGCCATATGTGTCCAATTGCTGACTGATGGATGAAAACTATGGTTACACTATCACAGCTTAGATTGTAACATATAAATATATTTGAAACCATGAACCGATCAATGTTAGACCACCATTAAAAACCTGGAAGCACTGGACGGCCGTTTCGTCCTGGTATGAGACTCCTCAGCAGTGCGCAACCACGACTCCTGCACCCCGCAGGATTCGAACCCAGGACCTTCGGTAATGTGCGCGAACGAGTTTTAATGGGAAGATGTCACCAGTGAAGTTCAACCTGTTCGGGTGTATACGGTAACTACCGAAGACTGTGTATGAGGTTGCGCAACTCCGTGAATTTGATCAAGTTAGACATTAACACCGTTAGATACCGGCTCAGTGGTCTATCGGTGAAGGCGTTCGCGCGCAATACCGAAGGTCCTGGGTTGAAATCCTGCGGGGTGCATGAGTCGTGGATGCGCACTGCCACTGATGAGTCCAATACCAGGACGAAACGGCCATGTTTCAGTGCTTCCAGGTTTCTAATGGTGGTCTTACATTGATCGGTTCATGGTTTCAAAAATGTGTAACTTAACAATTTTCACAACCCCTTAATGCATATAAATATATTTTTATTCCAAATTCATAAAATATGCTTAAACTATACTTGTTGAAAAATAACATTTTTAAAGTAAACATAATGATTGCACTTTCAGATTCCATCAAAATGTATCGATATACTAAAGTGATTTAAAAGAAGCCTACTGAGAAAATCTCCTTTCCTTATTTGTAACTATTTTTGAAACTAAATAAACAAAAATACAATGAGAGATAAGTAGTTTTTTAAACATAACCAGTAAGAATGACAAGTATCTGGTTATTTTTACTGATTAATATCTTTCCAATTGACGCAGAGACGAAGTCCAACCTTATGTGACAGTAAACACCATTCTCAATGATCAAATTACGTAATACTTTTCTTATTTCTCTTATAACAACAAATGCTATTTTATATTACACTGTAGAAAACATACCAACACATGATTAGGTCCTAAAATCTTCTCTCGTATATTAAGTACTTCTTTGAGAAGATCAGATGCATCTTTATATTTGCCTTGATCACTAAAAAAAGGAAAGACAAAGAAGAACAACGTCACTATTCAATAGATGAAAGATATAAAGAGAGAGAGAGAGAGAGAATGGAGCAAAGAGTAAATAAATGAAAAGGATATTTAGTGAGTAATTTTATCAACAGAATAACTATTGAAAACTAATTCAACTGAAATTACAAAAAATATATAGACTGGAAACAAGGATATATTTTTAAAAGACCAAGGAAAGGCTACCTCTGTCAATCGTGAGGTTCTGTGGCAGTGCCTGTCATTAAAAGATGTAGCAAGGAAGTTTGTTAACCTAATAAAAGTTCCCTAATGGAACACTACAGGTCGAGAAAAATTGTAGTGGTGTTTGGTTCTCTGAGCTGGGGATGTTTCAGTTGTGGAGCTTTCACCGTTGTTCTTCTGCTGAACGCAACATCATCAGCACAAACTTCAGATAGCAGAAGTGAAGTATTCGAATTCCTCCAAGTTTAACTCGTAGATTGTTCTGTTAACCACGATCTTGATTGGTTACTGTTGACCTTAAACATGTTGTTGTTTGCAGCAATAACTCATAAAATCAACTGCGAGTACACACTGCAGCACACTTGAAGCGCAAAAAATGAAGAAAAATATCTAATGACTATCTTCCAAAAGAACAGCTATCCATGCACCTTCAACAAAAAACACCAACTGAAATCGTCAACAACAGCAAAATCAAACACATGAACCAATAAACGGATCATTCTATCATGCATAAAAGACATATCGACTACTGAGACCATTTGAAATAGGTGTAACACACAAAGCAACAGAGTCACTTCAATCAATCCTATGCAGACCAAAGGATAAAATGATAAAGGAAGAAAAATCAAATATCATCTACAAAATAAATTGCTCAAATTGTGAAAAACACTACATAAGATAAAGTGGACGTCCTCTTTAGCTTCGTCTACATGAACACCAATTAGCAGTCAAACGCCAAGACATTTCTTCGCTTACATCAATACATACGGACAACTATGGATAATCGTTCGATTGGAACAATGTGGAAATACTGGATAGGGGGGGAGCACAAACAAAACTAGAGAATTTTTAGAAACTTGGCACTCAGGTTCATCAGCAATCACACAAACACATCAACAATGACCCAATTTATCAACTAATCAGAAAAATCATAGGCAACATAGAGGATCTTACCGATAAACTAAAGCCAAGATATTCAGTAGAGCAGCGACTTCAGTTTGATCACGACCACCAGATTTTTCTAAATCTTGGATAGCTCGTATACATAATAATGAAGCGACGTCATGCTTTCCCTGACTTGTATAACGTAAAACTATATGATGTAGTGTTCTAAGCCCGGGTGGAACATAAATTGACTGAGAATTTTTATTTCCATTTAAACCATGAAATTCACTAGTATCACGATTTTGATTTACTGACAATGAATCCATATCGGTATCCAGTAGACTAGAATTTATTATTCCGCTCATTTCTAAGTGATTGGATGTTGAGAATGATGAGGTAGAAGTAGTAGCAGTAGTAGTAGTAATGGTAGTTGGTTTATGAAATTTTTTATGCATATCAAGTCGATCCACGTGATTAGATATGTTCGTATGATTTGGGGTACTCATTAGGCCGAGGACAGATGTAACCATCATCGGTGGATCAGCTTCTGAACGTTTAAATAGTGAATCTAAATACATTTTGTTTCAATAAGTCAAAGAAAGTTTGTTATTGATCTTAAGCATAAGATTTTTTATTAAAATAAGGTTAAATAAATAGGTTTTATTCAAACAAATATGAAAAAAAAAGATATTTGCCATGGCATATTCATACGGCATCTTAGTGATCAAAGTAATTTACCCCTAATCAAAAGTTGATTAACATGAACTCCATTTCATGTTCTTTAGTTTCGAATACTGAGTAGTATTGTAGTGAAGGAGAACACAAGTGGGGCAACTGGATTGTATTTAACGAAAATTACAGAGTTACTCAGTAAAATCAGAAAACCAAATCGTAAATCGTTCATTTGCAAAATATCAGTTCATCATATCAAACTGGACTGTTCCTGTTGCAAAACATCAATCCATTGTCACTATTCATGCGTTTCATACAAATTTCATTGTGTTCTAACTCTTCCTTTCTTGATCTTCCCCATCTTCTGCTGCCAGACATTACGTTGACACTCACGTCACATACTACTTATAAGTAGCTCGCACCACAGTATCATTACTTATTCTACAATATAACTTAGAGTCAAGTACATGAACCTGTATTCAGTGGGTTAAATTAATTATTCATGAGAATGTTGGGATGGAATTATCTCTGCCAGTTGAAGATAAATTGGCAGAGATAGGTATTTTACAGCCTGTTGGTTTACGTTGGTGAATTTCACATCGAGAAAGCGAAAGTAAATCAACCAGATGAAAAGTGAAAGTGAATATTACCAGTAAAATAATATTCTAGAGAGAAAAATACAACTGACTAATGAATTCTGCGAAATCATGTTAAAACTCTGAATTAAAGGAAGATTATAAAATAGCCATATATAATCCATTGGTACAGATTCTCAAATATTTCACTAAATAACCCCAATGATTATCAAATTGAACTTTACCGTAACTGAAGTTTTTGTCATTGGAGAAGGATCAAAGCAACGCTTTACAACGTTTTATTATTAGACAAGGAATCGATGCATCTTTAACAATGTTGCTTAGAAGATAGAAATGTCACAAATCACAAGATTCCAATGCTCTTCTTCATTTTAGGTCAGTGTGATCTTTGTAACTTTGCTAGAAAATAAGAACCTGTTATACATTTCGCATTGTCTGTTAGCAAGAAGATAAAAAGAAGAGCAACTAGGAGCTAACCAACTGCTTCATAAGGTGATCCACTCGGCTTTCCAGTCCCCTATATCAGTTTGATTAACCTACGGAAATATCTAGCCTGCATAGGTTTATTTGCTGATACTCATTGCCTATACTTTTGTGCATTCCGTTTTAGCGACAATTGGAAATATAACGTTAGAAGGAACTAGATAATATTCTTGAAAGCGCTTTATCTAGCATGGTATTTTTATTAGGCACTCTTTAATATGGTAAAAAGCAAGGCTACAGCCTTAGTTTATCAGCATAATACTAACAATAGTTTGACAGCAAATTAATAAATGAGCTTTTACGGCGATTAAACATGGAATCTATGTAACTTGGAAATGTTTTAGGTCAAAAAGATAGTCTCATATAAATAACCATCTATATGAATCATCTCTTTTATATTTTGGATAAACTGTCCAGTAAATATTCCTAGTATATAAAAAATTATAGTGCTTTCTAACGTTGGTCAGTCAATTATATTCAGCATGCTTTAGCTCAAGTTGCTAAATTACATAAGCACAATGATATGGAATTAACAAGCCGAATAGTAAACGCGTCGAAATAGTTTGGTGGAAATGACAATGAGAAAGGAAATATATTGGGAATATGATCTGCAAAGGTACGTATGATAGATGCTAGAACTCCAGATTGAATTCGAATTAAGGTTGAATGAATCTGCTCTGAGGTTATTGATTTCCGGACATATTATCAAGCAGTTATCACGTAGAATCAAGATAAATATACTACTTTCTTTTCAATCCTAGAAATCACTTTATTTCATCAATTAAGGCAAGTTGTACTGATACATAGATGTGCTAGTCTCACATTGTTTATATTCGTATTTTTACTAATCAGCAGACATTCATTCATTTCAACTTGTGCTTGATATATTTTCCGAACAGTTTTTTTCGATTACTGATAGCCTTATGTGCTGAATGAGTTTTCTTGATCATAGTTCATTGGGCTACAAACAAATGGCTATACCAGCCATTACAATTTTATGAAAGATGCTACTTTGCTTTTATCTCGCCTCTACACACATGGTAACTTGGAGAAAACTCATTTTAGGCCTATGGTGGAAAGGATATTTTATGTACTTTCATACTTAGCAAGTAGCTTAAAAGATTGTAATTGCTTATCATACTGCAAATTGAAACTTTACTCATTATTTTTGGTATAATTGACCTTTAAGACTAGTAACACACTCTCGTTGCTCAAACCAAATTAGGTAAAATGACGTTCAAGTCTACACTCAGACTAATGAACGACAGACTATCCGAGGACTACAAGAACGTTAACTGATGCACTGAACTACAATTTAACGGAACCACATAAATTCTCATTTGCGCATAGTAAACCAAATTTTATCTCGTGTCACAACAACATTAGTTGACATTCAATTTTGTACAAAGCTAAAAATAAAAGCTGAAAGACATTCGACCAATCTAACTGTTGATAAAATGTATGAGAAAAATATTTCTGACAAAATCAATAAAATCTTACTTTGTTCAGGGTCAGGACTATTGGGAGATATATCGTATTTCTTTAGATCCAACATGAATTCGAGATGTTTCTTTTCAACCTCAGTTTGAGCAAGGAGCGATTCATTTTCCTATATTAACCAGTAATATATACACTCAATGTAGTTAATTACCTCTAGTTTTGATTGTGTATACTTTAGCTCATCTCGAAGCCAACAAGCTTCTTCGGTCAACCTCTGATTGTGTAACTTTACTTTTAGTAATTCAGCTTCCAAATGTTCGAGATACTTGGCAAATGTTATCATAACCTTAAATTTTTGGGAAATTACTTTATACAGAAAAAACCTCTGAGTCGTCTAACCCCTTTTCGATTTGCCTTAGAGAAGCTTCAATAATTGAGATTTTCTCTTGACTAAAAACTTTTTCACATTCTGAACTCGTGTTAGAATCTGGTACCGAGTAACTGTTTGCTGAGTTACAAAGTGCACTTAAGGTAGATAATGCTTGTTCATGATCCTGTTTTAATGATTCAAGCACTAGCTGAGCTTGCTTGATACTTTGCTTAACATGAGAAGGCATACCCATTACTGAAGCTGCATGACGAATTTAGGTCTAAAAATCTGTGTTGAGGATAAGGAATAATTATAATAATAATTATTATTATTATGCGAGTCACACACATTCACATATCATTAATGAAAATTAAGCTTGTGGTGGTGTTTCGTTCTCTGAGCTCATGTTGCTCCACATGAGCAACAAATTTTCTCCACCATCTCAAAATGAAGTCTACATGTGCATCCGAATCGGCGGAAAAATCGACTACAGTTTGGTCACCAAGTGATGAAAGCTGCAATCGCATGAATTAAAACCATCGCATATAACTAGGAGTTAACGACTTAACGTAGGAACAGCGAATTCGGTGAATTCACCAACGAAGACATAATACAAATGAAGTGCAGGTTGATGTCATTTAAGGGGTGGTAACATAAACATGATTTTGGGCGGCATCTTGAGGTTAAACAGTCGATGAGGTCGTTGTGATTGCATAAAATTTGTGCTTCTAGAGTTTTTATAAGAAGTATAAAACGAAATTTAGATTGGTACCTTTTCCCCCAGATCTCTTGATCATCTTATATTTTATTGATACCGAGAGTTTTCAGTTCGATCTATTATATAAAGCAGCTACACTCTTCTGAAATCACTTGGTATTTACTTTTACGACTTGTAAAATTTTGTGTACTAGCTATTAATTTTAACTGTTCCCCATTAGTTTTTCCCGGGATTTCAAAAAAAGATTTTGCTGTGTTGTGGAGAATGCTAAAGATAGTTGGGTAAGTGGTGACCTCTCTGAAGTTATTGTATGGTTCTGGGTATACATTTAGAAGTTTGACAGCTCCTGACAAGTGTTACCTAATAAGTTACTAACCATCCACATCTTTCTCCTTGAATGTTTCCTGGTAGAACAAGGCGCCGATACATCAGAATCCATGGGCGCAAGCAAGTATATAACGTCTCTGCAATACCTCATCAATTAAATATACTGTTTGAAGAACAAACTGTAAGAGCTGACCAAATCAAGGAATTTGTATTCTTAAGCATGTTGCCAATTAGGAGATGCATAAATTCTCAACTTATGTTATTTAAATTTTTAGGCAGTTTATTGGTTTAGTTCCTGCATATATATGCAGTTCATCTTTGTACAATAAACTTTCTAAAATGTATCTCCTTAAGGATTCCATATTGTGTTTAATGTATATATGTATAGGTCTAAGGTCCAGTGCGGTTAGTCTAGCTGCTTGATTAGAACAGTCTCCGTGGGGTAGAAACGCGATGATAATATAAGGCGAACAAACAAGCTGGACGAAGAGCAGTGAAAAAAATCAAAAAATGTAAGCGAGACGAGATAACAGAAGGAATAATAAAAACAAAGTAGAATGGATGAAGAGACCAATAGGTGCAGTAATCTTGCCCTTTTTAATTCAGCACACCTGGTAAAGGTTCAGTAACATATCAATATTTACAAAACCAAAAGCTCCTTGATTATACACAATAACAACAAACCAATCCGAATAGTGACCTTAAAGATATTACTTGAGCGCCTTCAGCCCACTAGGAATCGGCGTACACTTCAAACATTCATCTGATATCGTCCTTTGGGCTCTACGTCTCAGTTAAATTTTTTGCAAAAAAAGCATATATCTTCTTATAGTTTGTAATGAACTTTAAAAGTAAAGTATTCGTGAAATGAAGGAAGTTTGAAGAAACTCCTTAAAATGTGTTGTTTCAAATGCAGATATCAGGAATCATCTTGTATGCATTTTGTTATCTTCGATGAGAATAAGTGCCTGTAGATTAATAAACCAACAAAGACAGACATCACTAGTTTGTAGGAGTTGGTTGAATATCTTGGCTATATTCCAGCACAGACTATGCAATATCATTCTTACCTAAGAACTGAGATTCATAGTTTCATATTCGTCTCTCTCTAGGTTTGTTCACTTACCTCATCACCACAAACTCTCTTTACCTTAACTGCGGATTTCTGACCTCAGTATCATCCCATATACATACATACAAGCCTATTGTGGAGGTAGTTTTAATCCCCAGGTTAATTAATCCGATAAGTCCTTGATATTGTACTGACCTCATCATCCTATCTGAATTCATTCAGTCAGACATCCTCACAGCGTGGCAATGAAAGTCGCTTTGGCGTTAAGACCACAATACACAGGACACGATGTTCCTTAATTCCTGAATATTCTGTAGTCATTCCAACTTCAAACCTACTAATCCGGAAAAATGCATCAGTACTTTTTAGTGATAGCCGTAGCAGTTGGCAACAGCTGACTGTTGTTGACCAGTGAAACAATGATAAAGATTCTTCAAGTCATCAATACAAGAGCAGGTCTCGGACACTGTCCTCCACTCTGATAAAAACAAGTCCTGTTCAATTTTTTACCATGTATAAAGATCTAGTGACTGAGCATGGCGATAATGGTTCGTTCACTATGGTCCGTTCACTATGCTGAATCGGGGAGAGTTTTTCGCTAAATTGGATCTACCTGATGCTTATTTGCAAGTGGAAGTAGGTGAAGCATCAAGAGAGCCGCTTACTATCAATGCTTATCGTGGTTTGTTCTAATATAGCCATCTGCCTAACGGGATCAAGTCCGCCCCATCTATTTCCCAGCAACTAATAGATACCAACCAACCAGGTATCTCGGGGGTCACGGCCTATCTATGAGAATATGAGAACAGCTTTCGGTAACCTGCATCACTTATGGCGCAGGCGAGATACCCGTTTGCTGACTAAAGGACGAGTGTACTGTGCAGCACTACACTCCGTCATACTATATTGGTGTGAAACATGGCCAGTTATAGTAGAAGATATTCATACGTTACTGGTTTACGAAAATAAGTGCCTCCGAAGCATTGCTCGAGTATCGTTGGATAGCCGAGTAAGTAATGCTGATGTTAGGAAGCGGGTTCTATGTAAGGATGGCAGATCAATAGATGAGGAAGTGAAACTTCTTCAATTGAGGTGGTTGGGACAGGTGTTATGAATGCCCAAACACCGAACGCCTCGTCGAGCTATGTTTTGTTGTGTAGCGGTAGGCTGGACGAAAGCCAGGGGCGGCCAGACCAAAATATGGCAGAAATCCATGAAGCCACTGACAAGTGGACTGAGTCATGTTAGTAGATGTAGGCAACGTGGTTGGGTTATATGTCCGGAAATCAATAACCTCAGAGCAGATTCATTCAATCTTTATCTGAATTCAGTTCTGAGTTCTAGCATCTATCATACGTGCCTTTACAGATCATATTCTTTCGCTTTGTCATTTCCACCAAACTATTTCGACGCATTTACTATTCGGCTTGTTAATTCCATATCATTGTGCTTATGTAATTTAGGGACTTGAGCTAAAGTATGCTGAATATGACTGACTGACCAATGTTAAAAAGCACTATAATTTTTTATAAACTGGGAATACTTACTGGACAGTTTATCCTAAATATAAAAAAGACGATTCTACAGATGGTTATTTATATGAGACTATCTTTTTGACGTAAAACGTTTCCAAGTTACATGGATTCCATATTTAATCGCCGTCAAAGCTCATTTATTGGCTCTGAAACTATAGGCAATGAGTATCAGCATATAAATACCTGAACCTACGCAAGCATGAAGGTTGAAAGTCGAAAGGTAAGTAGATATTTCTGACGGTTATTCAGATTGATATAGTGAACTGGATAAGCTAGCTGATCCTCCTGCAAAGCAGTTGGTTAGCTCCCAGTTGTTCATTCGTTCAGAAAGAATATTCGTTCCAATGAACCAATCGCTTTCATTATTTCATAATTGTCTAGCCTTGATGACTTTCCTTTCTTGGACCCTGGCGAAATTCTTTACATATCATGCGCAGATTTAAAATGCGAATGATGATCATTTGTATTGATTACCGGTATAAGTACTTTATGTAAGTGATTGTGGTCCACTCATTTTTAGCTTACATATTAAGACTTATTATCCTACCCCAAAAATTGTGCTTCATGTCTGAGTCTTTGAGTATATCTCTGACATGCGCCTAGCGCAGCTGCTTTGCTTACTATGTATAACATGAATAAGGTTTTGAAGAAGATTTATGAAGTAGTACATATAGGAGGAGCAAAGGCGATTATTTTGCCTTAGCATGTCCACAGATTTTGACCTAATTATGCTAGTTTTTTTGTCGTTGATCATAACTAGTATAATTAAACAAGGTATCTTTCATTGATCTTCCTGTTTGATATTTTGTCTACCTGGAACGTTTTAAAAGTTCTTCAGTTATGGTGCCTTCCAGAAATATGCCTCTATCCTATTTTTTTGTTTAAATAAATGTTCGCTTTATGTTACCTGAAATTCTAGGAGTTGGAAGGCACTCGATCCAAAGTCCACTACGGAGGAAAAGTCGTTCCTAATTTACTTGAAGTCCTTTAACTTGTACCTTGTGCTGCACGGAAGTGTTGACATTGATGTGATTGTGATATTCAATGATGGATGTTATGTTACTCTTCTTAAACATTCATCAGTACATTTTACCAATAAAATCCCTCAAGGAAGTCATTTCTTCCAAACAGAAAACTGACGAGACTGTAAAGAGAAACTCCAGAAACTTCGAGTCAGTACACCGTGATATTCATTGAGACTGGGACTCATACGGCACCTCAAGCTAAATGTTTTACAATAAGGCTAAACTTTCTGTTTCCACATTGTGCCGCAACATAACCTATATGACTGTATTTAAAAAGCTCGAAAATTCGAAATTCTATCTGAAAATCTGGACAAATATGATTATAAACTAGCAGATAACAGTGCGGAAGACAGCTTTTTGTATGCGGGTTTCGTTTGTTTTAAAAGGTGCACTATCTAGTAGATTCATTTGAAATTAGTTTTATGTTACTGCGCAATTTTCCACCTCGTTTAATGACCGGATGTAAATGTACCGGTTTTTCCTCCTCTCCTTTCTGATAGCTGAATTCGTTTGTATTCATGGAGATCAGATGAAGATTTCCATACCAATGAATTCCTCAGGAAGTGATAAATTTTATTTATGTAGGACTTTATTCACATACATGAATTTCAGAGACCGGTACAAGGCGATTTTTCAAGATATAACAGGGTACAAGCAGCTTGAGAGAATTCTTCTCAATTTTAATGGTAATGAAGCTGTATAGATCATTATGGTTTTTAAACAGAGATTCCATCAAAACTTATACAATTCAACAAAAATCAACTGATGGATTTCGCAAAACTAAACGATATTATAGACATGGAACTTTATACCCATGGGTCGACCTTTTACAACAGTCTTGAGGAAATGTTCAAAACGTTACCAAGAGAAATATCCTATGGCGTAGTTGACCAACATCTACAAAATCTCATGATTTCTATTCTGACCTACGATACAAGAAAAATGAGATTTGGTTACTCAGCCTCAGAATTACAACACTGTTTCAAGATGAACGACTTTGCAGCTCAGTCAGTGAATGTTTTTGACCTTCTCTCTCTTAACTGGTTTAAAGCTTTCAGTGCTGGTCTCACGCGGTACGTAAATACGCGCAAAACATTGCAAGTTAGTTCTTTTGTTCAAAAGCATTCCAAATGAGGTTGTTCATTAATTTGAGTACAATTCTTACATCTTGTGGCCTTAGGTGTTGAAAAATGAGTGAATATCACAAATTTATGTACAGTAACCCCAATTACGTTACTTTAGTCATGTTCTTATTTTTTCGATCATCATACCGAAACTGCATGTTATTTGTCAGATAACCAGGCTTGCAAACACCATTGTTTTATTTCTTTCAACCGATCTCTCGAGAGTTACAAGCCTAAATCTGAAGGATTCTCAGGTTAAATAGTTTCAGCAATGGTAAAATAAATAATGACTGGTCCACTTTACATAAAGATGAGACACATTATTTTCCAGAGAATCTCAGACCAATTAATTGCTGAGACCTGAAACCGTACGGAAGAAACAAGAGTTGAGCGCAAAAAGAACAACTGGTTGTTACTAGCTCGTGAAAGAGATATTGGAATTTGTAGACGTCCACACGAAGTTGTCTTCCAATATCCTTTAACAACACAACTTGCAAGTATCTATCAGGCTTACATACAAATGTATCAGAAGTATAAAATCTATTCAGGTCAGTTATTAGGACGGCATAAGCTAATAAGTAATATATTTATGTAATACTAACTTCTCAGAAATAAAATGAACAATCATGTACGGTAGAAAGTTGATTTTGAGATATCGAATACCGAAGATGGCTAGCAAATAATTTTCAGTTAATTAGGCTCACCAAAATTGGGTAAATAGTCTTCAAGTTCAAAACATCTGATCAAACGACTGTTTAAAATATATGTTTTTCTCAAAGTTGTTACTCCCTCAGAATCATTTCATTATCATTATTTATCAACTTTGTTGGTTTTTGAGTAGAAAGCTGTAAGGAAAAAAGGCCGGTTAGCCATTTATTTGTCAGTCATCTCTTGTAAACTATCTTTATTTTAAACAATTCTGCTTGATTTTATAATAAGTCTTCAAGATGAACCAATCCGTTTACTGATAATTTCTAATAATGATAGGCTCTTTAACTAGGTTAATCGTGTGATCCAAATTTAAACATAGCGATGTTTTATGAGGTTAACTAATAACAAACACACAGTCTATTGTCTAAAATACGAGCCAATAACTCAGGATACCGAAACTGTTGGACTGCTGTTGTAGAGACTAACTAATTATCTAAAGTTCAATGGTTGAGTATTAAAGATGGGCTAAAGCTTGAACAATTCGATTACTTGCAAATATTGTAAAGGAAAATGAAAGCAAGCCTTCTCAAATAACTTTAACCTTGCTGACAAAATGATTTCTGTACGTTTAATAACTAAACAAATTTTGAACCTGAATGTTTCAGATGATGAAGACAACTTTAAATGCTGGACCTAGTAGATCGTGCATTCAATGTATGAGAGATCTTAGTCTGGGTTGTCCAATGTTAGATGAATGCTTCACAACCAATACTAAACAAATATGTTCAAATCCATGCAACAAATACTGTATAAATGTTTTTCGTGGATGTTTAGCTCCATTTCTCTTATTATCTTCTTCTAAACAATCCATTTATTTAAATGAAAAATCAATTTGGAGCAGTTCAAACCCGGTTCATTTTGGTGATTTAAGTTACTTATTAAATGCTACTACTGTGTATCATTTAATTAAAAAAGGAATTAAAGAGACCGATGAAAATGGAGCCCTGATACAAGCAAAAGTAAGTCTTTTTGGTGTTTATGTATTTTCAGGCATTTTATCGCCTGATTAATTAATAATAACCAACTTCTGTTTAAATGCAATAAGCCAATCAATTTTTGAGAAAAAACATTTACTTATTAATTATTACTTGTTATTTAAACTTGTTTAGACATTCAGTTAAAGCTTCCTCTATAAATTTACATGTATTTTATACAGCAACTGTGAATAAGAATAGTTTTATTAGGTTAACTGATTTTGAAAAGCCATTGGTAGCCAAACAAAACAGAACAGACTCCCAAATCTTGAAAATGTACTGGTCTAACATTTTTTAGACCCTACTTTGGGTAAATAGGTACGTGAAAGCTTAAACCGGATAACTGCTAGAGTTTCAGTAAAATCAAGTCGAGAGCAGGATGTTTATGAAGTTACAAAATGCACAAACCTTGAAAAATCTTGTCATAAAATGAGATTGGTTGGATGCATGAAAGCATGACTTCAAGCTTCAAAGTGATTTAAAGTTAATATTTGTAATTCAACAAACTTGTGTCCTAAAACAGCTGACAAATGAATAGGATATAAAAAGTCATTTCATATTTTACTGTGCATAGTATACACGCGTTACCTTACTAGGACATTATACTGTATACGCTGGAAGTTTTACGAAATATCTTTTGGAGAATGGATTCTTTTTACTAATAAATATAACGAAAACATCCCAAGATGATCGTGATTCTTCTGAACAGCATTACTAGAAAAGCCTTCATCTAAAAGTATAATATTTGAATTGTCCTGAACAAACTGTAAGTGATATGTGGAGGAATTCGAAAACGTCACTTACACCTGAAGTTTGTGCTAGTGATGTTGTCGTTTACTCATCCGGCTTCGATAACGAATCTTCACAAAAAATGGACTGGTTAAAATTTAGCTGGTAGTATCAGAAATGAAATAGTCCTAACCCTCACTCAATAAATCAATTATAGTAGACACAAATTCATTGGTTTATGTGATACAAAACTGTGATGTTCAGTAATAAATCGTATTCTTACTATATACATAGTGGTTGTGACATATATATATAATAAAACAGCTTTAATTTTCCTTCTTATTTCTTTTGTAGCTTGAAAAGTTTTGTAGAAAAAATCAATCACCTACATCACAAACTACTACAGATTTGTTCAGTAATTTAAATGGAAATGATCATACACTAAATCAAACAACTAGACATTATTTGCCATTTAATATTGCAGAATATGACAAATTAAATCATTTCATTCAAAAAGTTGCAAAAGATTTAAATTCCTATTTTTATGATAGAAATGATAAAATTCATTATATGAATAGTATTGAATTACTTTATTGTTCACAGGAAGATAAAAACCAATGCTGGAATGGATCATCATTTGATCGGTGAGTAGAATTTATTTTCATTATAGGGTTTGTGGAGTTGGTTGAGTTTTTAGCGAAATCATGAATGGACCAATATTAGACCGTCATTAGAAACATAGATGGCCGTTTTGTCTCAATATGAGGCTCACCAGCACTTCCCATCTAGGACCATTGCATGTGAGAATCGAACCTAGGACTTACAAATTGCAAAGCTAACGCTTTACCTCTGGACCGCTGAGCAGTCATGCATCGGTGTTATTGTTCGACTTTAACCAATGCTCGATATTACTTGACTATCATCCACTGTCTTTGCTGGATGACTGCCTCATACCCTACACGGCTGAACTCCGCTAGTCACGACTTCTCACTAAGACTCCGAGGATTTCCCCGCGAAGCTAATCAGTAGTGAGCACATGATAATTTCCATCACAGGTTGTGCAGAGTTTTGAGTTTCCTTGCAATCATTAAGGTTAGGAATCGACGAAATGGCAGTCCAGTGCTTTCAGGTTTCGAATTGTGATGGTCTCGCATTGATGGACTTATGATTTCAACAAAATTCATTTTGCCGAATGTGAAATATTTATTACTTTGTTCACTGGTGATAAGGAGATACAGTTACATTTAAGTCTCATGTTTGGAAGAGGAAGAGAGATTTCGATGTATTTCAGTCCTTCGGAATGATTTTCTAATGAGACAACTGATCAGATAATTAAAGTGCTGAGTTGCTTAGTACCTTAAAAATACACCAACCAACTTTAACAGAGGATAAAATTTACTGCCTTATCGGTTTTCTGTGCCTTTTTATGTTGAAAATGAGCTTTTTAATAGAGTACAGCCTGATGACGATCTAATCGAAAACAATATTGTTCGCTTATATATGTTGTTCTAATTTTTAATTTGTGTCCGGTAAAATTTGCCAACTTACGTTGAAACATTCTGACTTCAAAAATTCAATAAGATTTGTAAGGCTTTAGATTATAAATAAAAGATAAAAAAATGAGATTTTCGAATTTGATTTCATTGTTGCAAATAATAAGTAAGATGTGTAACAGTATGTCACAATATCATAACCGGTTTTAAAGTTCTAATCCTGTTATACAACATTATTATTACTCATGGTAGAGAAATTGGTTGAAAAAAAACTCATCTACAGGGAAAATAGTTAACTGTCTCTTAGATTAAGACGCATAAACTGATGAAATTTAAGTTAGTCCACATGTAAGTTTTCAATTGCAATGAATATACTACTCTAGTTTTCTGCTACAGGTCTTTACGTCCTTCATTGAAGCTAAGAAAAAATCAATTAATAATGCTTACCATAGTCTGTTTAAATATTTCCGAAATCACCAAAAAGACTCATAAGTTGTTAGATGAATACTTTTAAACCTAATACTCAAATTTCTCTGATCAATACAACCTAAAAGTCATTGTCAATTGCCTTAAAACGAAAATATTCAACTCATTTCAGTAAATAACAGTAAAAATATCACCAGTGAAAAAAATACATTAAGAAATTCTTAAGTGAATCCTAATCATTGTAGAATTGGGTACAACAAGTATTTTAAAACCCAATTTTTCATAACTAATCAGCGTGAGACTAACTACTCAAATCAAAGGTTATTGTTACATTTACATACAAATTAGAAAGAAGCTTAACTGAATTCTAATCATTAAAACTGACAGTTGACAAATCATCTCATAAAAAGAAAAGCAGCAAACTATGATCAATTTGAAAATACTCTGATTTATTAGATCGAGCTATTGTAGTGAAGGAGAGCACAAGTGGGGCAACCGAATCGTATTTAACAAAAATTACAGAGTTACTCAGTAAAATAGGAAAACCATATCGTAAACGATTAATTTGCAAATCTTCAATCCATCATCAATCCATTGTCTGACATTTCACTATTCATGCGTTTCATACAAATTCCAATGTGTTCCCACTCTTCCTTTCTTGATCTTCCCCCATCTTCTGCTGCCAGACATTACGTTGACACTCACGTCATATACTACTTATAAGTAGCTCGCACCACACTATTAGTAAATAAATTAGAAAAAGTTTACTGTAAGTTGTTTACATTGAGTTGTAGATTTAAGAGAAAAACTTATTCACAAACTTAACTGTACTGATTACATGTTTTATTTTTTGTGTGTGCATAAATGTAAAATTTTTAAAGAGAAAGAAAACGAAACAAAACAAAAATCATGTTTAATAGTGTGATAATTTATCAACAGAATAACAAAATAATTGTATTAATTTAATTTAATTTTATATTTTTTTTTTCGAAAAAAATACAAACAACCAAAACAAACTGTACGGTAATTTTTATTTGTTTTTCATTTATCATACACTCATGTTAATTATGGTTGATTATTTGTGTGTGTTCGAATTTTAGGTCAATTTTTGTATGTTCAGTCCACTATGTAACCAGTGTTTAAGTTCAAATGTATTTAGATAAGGCCTTTTATTATTTTTTTCTACGAATAAAGGCTTAACTAAACATAGCATGACGTGTACTTATTGCATTTTGTTAAAATTACTACATTGAATTGTCAGTGTTACTATTTAGTGTTATTGAAAATGTTGAATTTTCATTGCCAAACTTTATGTGTGGTTTTTATAATAATAATAATAATAATAATAATAATAATAGAATTTTTTTCAATCAAATGTGCAAACTCTCAAATATTTGATATATACACCCTGAACTGGTGAAAACAAACACTGAAACGAATAATTAGAACTGTGGTGGCCGATTTTGATCATGTCGGGCTCACCATTTGTAGTGGCCAATTCACGTCGTTTCGTACGCTTTGTTCGCTGCTTTTCAACTTCGCTTTGTGGTGTATCCCAAAAATAAACATATTCATTACTTCGAATTCGTCTTCTGATTTATAACCGTCACACGCCATTTAGTTACGATTGTCTGAACGAGCTAATTACCGAACTTTAGAACACGCAGTAAATTGGCCACTACAGAAAGACATAGTGTAAAAATGAAGTTACCAGTAAAAATTGTACACTTTCAAGATAATATTCTGAAATGATTTACTATGGACACCTGGCAATGATATTTGAATAAATTCAGTAAAATTTATGACAAACCTGTTATTTTTTTGAAGGGAAATTTAATTTGAAAAAAAATAATGAAAAAAATCATTCCATATTAGCAATGATTCATGTCAACCTTAATAAAAATCCCTTACTTTTAATGAATGATATACACAGATAAGTTGAGGCTAAACTATTTATACATCATCATACAGAAGCAGATTTTTTTTCTTTTAAAAATATATATAAGAAATATACTTGTGTTTAATAAAAGTTCTCAACTGAATATTAGATTTTATATAAACACAATTTTCACCAATATCTACTTTGAAAGTATTGTCTTTTACAAAGACGGAATTAAAGAGGTTTGAAATTTTTCTGTCAGTGAATAGAGAGAATTTGTCAACACTTTTAGAGAATTAACAAAACAATTTTCACCTGTAAGCTGATCAGTGTTTACAACTATATAGTCGATTTCAGTTATTAAAAATCAAAGAATAAGACCGTTCAAACTTTTATAAAAGTGTTATGCTTGAAACTATTATGAGTTCACATTAGTCGGTAAACGAGAGTGAAGACAAATGATCCAGTGACACGATAGGCTATTCTAATCCGAGCGTCCCATGGCCCCATTAAGTAGAGGGAGAAGTCTTGATATGGCACAAAAAGTGTATTCTACAAGCACCCAGAAAATATGAGGTTGACAAGCACATAAATCGAGTTTATTTATACATGATAGAAACGTCCTTGAGAGAGCCACAAAAATACCATACTGAAATAATACACCAACCAATAACAGTCAAGGATTTCCGGGTGGGAAATGGAATCTTAGTATTATTAGTATTGTTGTTTACATATCACTCACTATAAATCTTCCGAAGACATGAATAATTCAAATGGTAATCACTACACTATTTTTTCTTACTGAATTCATGTCACTTCAAAAACACTATATAATGAATGCCATATTGGATATTTTATCTGAAATTCTTTTGAACAGAGAAATGAGAAGACATATTTTGTGAGATAGTACCATTTCGTGCTTTCTCGTCAGTCACATGTTATTTGTGTAAATACAGTTTTGAAGATAAGGTCAAAATTTCTTATTTAGCATGACATTCACTCACTAGAACCATGGTAAACAAAGGTCAACATCTTCAAAACTGTATTTACACAAATAACATGTTGCTTGTATGTGACTGACGAGAAAGCACGAAATGGTACTATCTCACAAAATATGTCTTCTCATTTCTCTGTTCAAATTTATCAAAGGGAACCACTGTTTTGAAGTTCTTTTATCATTTCTTTGTATTCCTATATATTACCCACATCTACTTTGATTAATAATCACATATATTATTGATTTAGCGTATAATCTTACTCAACTTAATTGGTCATTTCAACATTCAAGATTTTTATTTATCCTACGAACAAAAACTTGGATTTATCGGCTATGGTTTGATATAGTTTGATGCTCACTGCTGATGAGTCCCATACCCGGACGAAACGGCCGTCCAGTGCTTCCAGGTTTCTAATGGTGGTCTAACAATGATTGATTGATGATTTCAAATGTGTAAAAAAAACGCAAACCTTTGAAACTGTGCCCCAAAATATAATATATTTGCCTTAATTAATTGTGGCATCATTTAACTGTGAAACCTGAAGAGAATTCACAGGAAAGAATATTCTTTCTTCATATATATTTTAATGTTTTGATCTGAAGGAAATTTTCAAAAACAAAATTAATTAATTGGTCATATGAATAATTTGTAGGAGACGGGATCGAACTTCGTTGGGAAATGATGGAGGTATACGATAGATCACCCGAAAAGATCTAGATTTATCTACAATGTGACCACTATCTACCAGGTGTGCTAAGATAGAACTGCGTATTGTTTTTGACTGACCCTTCGTAAACCATGCTGGGAGATGTTCACTCATTCGTTGCCTGGAAGTACGCCCGATATAGCTATCTCCACAGGAGCAGCTGAATTCGTAAATGCACATAGAGGCAACTTACACAACGAATGAGTGAACATCTCCCAGCATGGTTTACGAAGGGTCAGTCAAAAATAGTACGCAGTTCTATCTTAGCACACCTGGTAGATAGTGGTCACATTGTAGATAAATCTAGATCTTTTCGGGTGATCTATCGTATACCTCCATCTATTGTATTCAATAGGTTATGAGTTAAGCTTATTGTTGAATTTATAAATGATAATTTTAATAATTTAGTCAAATGGTCATAATGATAGTGTGATTCTTATTGATTAAAAATGTAAAATCACTTAAATAAAACGTTTATTTTCTAAATACACCAGATTTGGTGAACAAGTTTTTGAGATCGTGTAACCAATTTGTAACGAACAAATAGAAATTACTTTAATTTTGTATTCAACTATACTTTTGTCTCTATCTCTCCTCATATATGAACATGAAAAACTTAATAAGACACTTTTAATTTACGCCCAGATCCTTATGGAGAAAACTGTTACTTTGCTCTACGTATATGCATTCTGTTGTAATTAACTACCGATGATAAGGAGAAAGCTATCAGTAAGGCGAATGGCTAGAATTGACAAACTAATATAAATCGATTTTGTGCATGGTTTATAATATCTGTTTACTAGGAAGTTTGTAATTAGACTTTGAAATCATCAATCAATCATTGTCAGACCACACCATTAGAAACCTGGAAGCACTGAAAGACGGCTGCTTCGTCCTAGCATGGGACTACTCATCAGTGGCAGTGCGCATCCACGACTCCTGCACCTCGCAGGACTCGAACCCAGGACCTTCAGTCTTGCGCGCGAACCTCTGGACCACTGGGCCGGCATCCAACGGTGTTAATGTCTAGAGAGATTTTGCGCGACCTCACCCATTTGTCTTTGTTAGTTACTGCCTACACCCGAACAAGGCTGAACTCCACTGGTCACATCTTCTCACTAGAACTTCAAGTATTTCCTCACGAAGCTAGTCAATAGTAAGCACACTGTACGCTTTTTTCAATTAGAATTATAGAGATCAGTGTTTGTAATGCGTTTAAATGATTTGATAATGACCCTATTAAACGTCTTGAATGTAAACCGATATTTCATTTTATAATGATTAAAGTAGTTTTATTTTTATTTTAAATTATAAAATCCTAAAATATGATCAGCAACATTAATTTTATTTGTCATTAAAGAATAAAATAAGTAGAAGAACTATATAGGTGACCTTCATATATATATATATATATATATATATATATATATATTACTGATATGACTGTTCGTCACCGATATTTACTCAAGTGAAACTATAAAATTTTAATGAAATAGTTTCATTGTGATTGATAATTTTTACTACATTTAAAGGTATACTATTGTAATGAATTGTTATTATTCATGAATATGATATATACAATGTTTTCTTGAAATAAATCTAATCTTTATTAGTTTTCGTAATGGTACTTGTGAGTAAGATGGCTAGAAAATGTACGTGACTTTTTTCCCTGGTTATTAGATGAAGTATTATGGTAATTTTACACATAACTAACGTTGTAAATAAAGTTACTGGCAAGGAGCAGTAAATTTCCAAATATACAAGTAACGTAAGTAAGCACCCAACTGAGTCATCAGACAAGCCTTCACTTGCAACTCTCAAGGACAAAGGAAAAGAAGGTCAACAAACACATTACTCAGAGTAATGGAGACAAACATCAGAAGAATGAACAAAAATTGAACAGAACTGGAAAGAGAGGCCTCGGGATGAGTAAGTTGGAGAATACTGGTCTGCGGTCTATGCTGCATCTGGGATAATAGGTGTAAGTAATTAGGTAAGCAAGTAACGTAAGTACAGTGATACTTCACTTCATAAACTCAGTAACTATATTGATTCGATGAATAGGTGACCTATTTCAAATCATTTATTATTTGTGTATGTAATTTTCAATGTACTGAGTGACTGTCTAGAAATTAGATAATTTTATTGAGGCCTGCTGAAAATACATTTTAGAATAAAGTGAATAAGTGAATAGTTCATGACATTTTAGCATCGACTACACAAGTACATATTTATATATATTTACACTTGTTTTTTTCTTAAATGCCAATAGTTTTATGATTGTATATATATCAGTTTCCTATGCATTGATATGCATTCTCTGAACAGTTTGTTTTATCACTAATGTATCTGTTATGGTTTTGTTCAATCTGCACAGAATGATTCAGAAACAATGTTTTACTGCAATTCAACTGCATAAAACTATGTCCAGTCCGTTCGTACATAGTTTGTTGAATAGCAATAATAGCATTTTGTTAATAAGAATAATAATATTTAAAAAAATTCTAACATGAATGTTTTACTTATTCAATCTAAACAGATATACACGTGAAGTTCCAGAATTCACTATAGATGGCCAGTTAAATAATCCTGAAGTGAAAATCACAAACAATGATTTAAAAATGAACAACTTTCCAAAAGAGAAAAATGCTATACAGAAAGAAATGGCTGATGAACAAAATACTGAAAAGGTAGATTATATTTTTTTTTATGTGATAAAATGAAATTGACCTTTTTAAAAAATTACCCTACATGATTACTGTTCACGGTAGATAAACAGGTCTATTGATTTGGAAATTAGAGTTTTAACTTATTATGGGGTAACTGAAAATATTCTCACTTTGATGGCTTACAGTTCACTTTAAAAAAAAAAATTGATTAATGGTTTTGCTTAGCTTCCTGTTATGAGTAGAATTTAAGTTTATGAATTAAAACTTAATAAACTTATTTTTTGATTCTTGACAAAAGTGTATTATGCCTTACGGGGTTGCGAAGATTGTTAAGTTACACATTTTTAAAACAATGAATCGATCAATGTTAGACCACCATTAGAAACCTGGAAGCAATGGACGGCCGTTTCGTCCTGGTATGGGACTCCTCAGCAGTGCGTATCCACGACTCCTGCACCCCGCAGGATTCGAACCCAGGACCTTTGGTATTGTAGTGTATTACATATTATAATTGGTTATGTAGTCTGGTAAGTGTTGCAAATAAACAATTATTTTAATTCGTTTGGGTTGGTTTCTTGGAGTTTCTTCTTGAAGTTATGGATGACAACTAATCAATGCATCCTGTGAGGACTGTTTTGATATTTCCGTTAAGTCATGAGTATTTTTAAAGCAGAGTTGGATACTGGCTTGTCCAGGATAGTGCGTTGCTGTTTGTAGTAAAAGTTAATTCATTAGAGTCCCGATGTGACGATCAACACTCGAATGCAATCAGCTAACAGGATGAAATGTGCTTACTGGATTCTGATACTGGCCAATATTTAAATCTGTTCAAGAAAGGAGGCTGTTAGAATTTTTCAGTTAGGGGCCGCCAAGACAAAACATGGCAGAAATCCATGAAGTTACTGACAACTGGACTGAGTGAGTCATGTTGCTACGTGTAGACTACCTGGTTGGAGTCCATGAGACGATAGTAACCAATGACTAGAGACCTTGAATGACAAGGCTCAAAATCGTTTGTAATGGTGCAGGTGCATCCACTCTTTGTGTCTGTGTATGTGTCTAAATTCCTCATTTCCTCTATCGTTTTCTTTTTAAACTTATTTCAGTGAATTATACTTCTTGAATGATATCTCGGAACCCTAATCTTCTCCGTTACCGGTAATACTTCTGATATCTCTACCACTATGGGATTTGAACTGACAGTTGTGTCTCTGTCCTAATGTGACATGGTAACCTGAACTTATGTACGTACGTAACTGACTGACAGTCTGAACTCTGATCAGACACCAAATTCTCTTTTCGTTCATAATATCTAACACAACTGTTATAATCAACTTAAAACCTTAGAATTGTAAAGTTATTATTCAGAATAAAATATACATATGTACAAATTAATGTATGCAATTGCGTACCGTTTGATAATTCTTAGCAAATTATAACATTAAAATTAGTCATCAATATAGAATGAGCAAATGGGTTGTATGACTTTTTGAAGATTTAAATAAACTTTTTAATCGAATGACACTGATCAGCGAAAATGTTAGTAATTTATTGAAAAACAAACATTTAAAATTCAATCCAAAACGTAATGAATATAGAAATAGTTTATAGTTTAGTGTTAAATGAGTATTATGAAATAAAAGTTTTGAGATTTTGTAATCCATCTAAGCTATTGGTTAGTGTTTTTTCAGCAATTTAGTTTTCTGCAGGACGAGTAGCTAACCCAATGCATAACTCTTCTTCTTTATACGGGCTTGGGACCGGCAGTGCCTTGAAAGGGATCCAGACTGACACCAGATTCTGTGGTGAAGTACGGAATAAAATGGAAAGCTCGGATGCAGCTGAAGAACTTGGAAATCGCGGCTCTTCTACCCTACACCCAGGGATGAGTGTAGGCAAAGATGACCAGAGTAGCAGCAGACTCTACAGCAGTAGGTATCAACATACACAAGGGTAAAAGGAAGATCATGCGATACAACCTGACCTACTTCAACCAAATCATACTTAATGAGGAAGTTTTGGAAGACGTGGAAATCTTTACATACCTGAGCAGCATCGGTGATAAACATGGATGATCTAATGCAGATGTGAAAAGATGGATTAGCAGAGCAAAGGCAGTATTTATACGATTGACAAACACATGGAGCTCAAAACAGCTGTTTGTCAATTCAGATCAAAGTCTGAATTTTCAGTACAACACATCAAGACGATTCTATCGTATGGATAGGAAAGTTGGAGAACTACGAAAGCCATCATCCACAAAATACAGGTGTTTATTAACAGTTGTCTACGTAAGATACTCTTCATACATTATCCAGGCACCAACAGTAACAACCTACTGTGGGAAACAACAAGCCAGGCTCATACAGCCGAGAGATAAATTAAGAAGTGACTCTGGAGATAGATAGGGCACACATTGAGGAAAGCATCCAACTGCGTCACAAGGCAAGCCCTAACATGGAATGCTCAAGGCCATGGTAAAAGAAGAAAACCAAAGTACACACTACGTCGAGAATTGGAAGCAAACATGAAAAGAATAAAAAGCAGTTGGATAGAAATTGAAAAGAATGCCCGTAACAGAGTTAGTTGGAGAATGCTGGTCGGCGGCTCATGCTCCATTAGGGATAATATACATAAATAAGTAAATTAGTAGATGAACACATAGAACTACATACTGAATAGATCGTCTGAGGGTAATGTGAATTAAAACACGTTTCTGTCAAACACAAATTCATAGAAATATCAATTTTTGCTGAAAAATGTGACTTTTATCAAAAGACGCTAATCTTTTCGTCTGAAGTAAAATTATTGTGCACTAAATACTTCATTGAGTAAAGTAACTTTTTACTAGTTTGCAGCATGCAAATTATCGTCTCCAAAGTATCGTAGATAGATAAACTCATCAAGAAAACTCCTTGTCATGGATTAAAGGGCACATTTTTTAGTTGCAAATACTATGGACATTAATGATTTTACATAATATGAAAGTTACACATTTTTTGAAACCATGAATCGATCAATGTTAGATCACCATTAGAAACCTGGAAGCAGCAAAACACGGCCGTTTCGTCCTGGTATGGGACTCCTCAGCAGTGCGCATCCACGACTCCTGCACCCAGCAGGATTCGAACCCAGGACCTTCGCACCCACGACTCCCGCATCCCGCAGGGTTCGAACCAAGGACCTTTGGTATTATGCGCGAACGCCTTACCATCGGACCACTGAGCCGGTATCTAACGGTGTTAATGTCTAACTTGATCAAATTCACGGGAAGATAAAAAAGGTACATTGATTTGTCATAATGTTTCTACGTACATTTATAAAATTTCCATCCTTTTACATAATCCACATTTTATTTTCTTCCTATTTCATAGCTGAACATGATAAATGATATTGCATCAGTTGATCCTGCATTGAATCACAAGAAACAGCCACATAATGAAGATTTATTCATTTCAGAATCAAGTGGTCTAAATCCGTCACTTTCATCAATTGATGTAGATCTACCACGAATACAGTCACCATTTGTTGTTGAATCAAATCCATCCAACTATTTGCCTGAAACTGATGATAAAAAACAACCACGACCAGAAGGTGTCAGTACAGATGATCTAACAAATCAAATTATAGTACAAGGTTGTTTTGTAGATGATGAAGATTGTGAATTAAATATTGCCGATGGGTCGATTGATATAAGTAGTGATGATGACAAACAATACAATGAAAATGAAACTTTCTATAATAATTCGGAATTTGATAAGAAAAAATCACAAGGTATATATACTTTAGTTTTTAAGTGATAAAAAAATAATAAACTTTGTAATGTTTTGTAAAAGTAAAGATATTTTGGGGCAGAGTCCCATACCAGAACAAAACGGCCATCCAGTGCTTCCAGGTTTCTAATAGTCTGGTCTAACAATGATTGATTAATGATTTCTAATGTGTAAAGAGTAAGGATAATAATTTTTTATTTATAAATTTTATTTTTAGAATATTGGTTCATTTTTTTTAAGAGAACAATTTGCAGTGTAGTACACTAGAAGTTCTGAAATTATTAACTGACTATTATCAGAAAGCTTATATCCAATGAGTATCTAAGTAAAGTTAAGTTAAGGAACTAGCTGTATTGAATTGTTACAGACAATTGACGCATAGGAAAGAGTGATATCGAGAAAATGTATAGCTCAGGTGGATGATTGTGGTGGTGTTTCGCTCTCTCTGAGCTGGATATTTTAGTTGTGGAGATTTCAGTGTTCTCCTGTTGAACACAACATCATCAGCACAAACTTCAGATAGCAGAAGTGAAGTATTCGGATTTCTCCACATACGACTCATAGACTGTTCTGTTAACCTCGATCTTGATTGGTTGCTACTGACCTTAAACCAATCAAGATCGAGGTTAACAGAACAATCTACAGGTCAAACGTGGAGAAATTCGAATACTTCACTTCTGCTATCTGAAATTTGTGCTGATGATGTTGTTCAGCAGGAGAACAATGAAAACTCCACAACCAAAACATCCAGCTCAGAGAACAAAACTCTACCACAAAGAGTGCTATAAAACATTTTAGTTCATCTGATAGTTAGTTAGCTAACAATAGGTATTTTTAAGTTAGTATGAGAAAATGTTTATACATTTGTTGTGATATTTTTATTTTTATTTGGTGGTTGATATCGCTTTGATGGTCGAGGATCTACTACCTTATTGATGAAAAATGGTTTTAATTAATTGAAGTATGAAGTTATTTTACAAAACCATCGAGACAGTTGACAATGCAAACTAGAGAATTGCCTCTAAAACTTGTACTGATAATAATCATCTGCTCATCAGTGACTCACTTCAATACTCAATTGCAGAAGTCTTCGTTAGAATTTCGTCATAAATAGATTTCGAATACATCGTTTGTGAGACAGTTATCCACCACATTCAAGAGGCGAAATCAGCACTATCGTAAATTGATGAAAATTAAACATGTGCCCCATTGCAATCCTACAAATTGATCTAAAGGTGAAGGCTTTTATGCTCCAAGCTAAAGGTCCTGGGTTAAAACTTCTATGCTACGCTCTACTGAGAACTGTAGTTCTAGGATGGAAAAACTGTCCAATGCTTCGCAGTTTTACACAGCGGTCTCACTAAGATTAGTTGGTGACTCTAACTATGAAAACGATAGGAATGCTTTCACAATTTTTATAGGGTATTGTAACTTGGAAATATTACCGTTTGTAGATGCATTCAAATCACTCCCTGTGAATGACCAGATTTACTTAGTTTTATAAAACTTGCTCTGTACATTTTTATACACCGGTGATGCATATCCACTCTCGAATAATCATTATCAATAGATTTCATAATATGATTACCATTAACCTTGCTAGTCTTTTAAAAATTTGACTTACAATGCCTTTTAGTCAACCAAATAGTACCACTGAAAGATAATCAGAATAATAAAGTTGTCTACAATTTAGCTAATGATATAACACTTACTTTGATTATTTTCCAATTCATAATAAAATGTGACATCTTTTACACGTTGAAATCATCAATCAGTGATTGTTAGACCACCAGTAGAAACCTGCAAGTACTGAACGGCCGTTTCGTCCTGTTATGGGATTCATCACCACCGCAGATCCACAACTCCTGCACCTCACAGGATTCGAACCAGGGACCTTCGGTCATACGCGCGAACGCCTAACATCTGGACATCTTTTATTAGATTCAATTTCTACTATAATTATTACAATTTCTTTTTGTTAAACAAGCTGCTCATTTTACCGCATAAAATGATCTAATCTTTTGTCTTTTAGTAATAAATTTTAAGATGGTTTTCAGTTTTCCAGTTAAAATGGATATTTTATACATTAATGTATGATGAAACATATTTCTATTAATCAATCATATAGAAATAAAATGAAGAGTTTTAAAATTTCTAAAAATCATATATTGTCTGATATTTTTTTTCTTTATAGATGAACTAGTGAATATTAACCAAACAGACAAAGAAACCAACAATAAAACTAAAATATCCTCAGCGAAAGTATTGAATTCTACAACACATACCAACACTTCGACAAATTCAACATTTAAAGAAAATACTAGTAGTCCCAGCAAGAAAATTTCTTCCACTCTAATTGGTTTTATTTGTATTTTCTCTATAAAATTTAATTCATTCACCAGATTCTATCATTTTTGAACAATGTTATATAAGCAGAGTTTTTAATAAATTGTATTCAAAGTTCTACTAATATGAAGAAGAGTAATCAATCAGAAGGGCATTTTTCAGCTTTCAAACTTTGCTTTTTTTTTCTTTTCTCTTTTAAAAAAAACTTTATAAGCTATTTTTCATTGTTTGGGTGATGCAGTCAGTAGTTTGTGCGTTTCAGATTACATATATATTTGAAAAAAAAACAACGTGACCAGTGTGATAAATGAATGGTTTTTCTTTTTACATTAAATCTCTCTCCATTTTTTTTCAATGCGTTTACTTACTTAATTTTTTTTCCTCAATCATGGATTTAAATTTGTTTGTCATCTTCATGTTTTATTTTTTATGCCTTTCTTACACAAATCTCATTGATAATAATCATTATCATAATAATGACACTGTGTTTACATTGAGATCATGACAAACATTGATGATTGATGGTGTTGTTGTTGTTGCTGATTCGATTATCTATTTTAAAAATGATTTTTATTTAGAATAAACATGTAAATTTAAATAAAACTATGTTAACTACGGTTAAAAATGAGGGTTTGCTTTGTATATTATTAACTCAGTGTAAATAAGAATCACATGCGTTAACCAAATCACGCTTGATGGAGATGCCTTGGAGGATGTTGACACCTTTACATATCTTGGCAGCATCATCGACGAGAAAGGTGGATAAGATACAGATGTGAAAGCGTGGACTGGCAAAGCAAGGGAAACATTCCTATAATTGAACAACGTCTGGAACTTCAAACAAATATCAATCAACACCAAAATCAGAATTTTCAATACAAATGTCAAGACAGTTCTACTGTATGGGGCAGAAACTTGGAGAACTACGAAAGCCATCATTCAAAAGATACAAGTATTTATGAACAGTTGTCTACGCAAAATACTTCGAATTCGTTGGCCAGACACCATCAGCAACAACTCACTGTCGGAGAAAACAAACCATAATATTCCAGTGGAGGAGGAAATCATGAAGAAGTGGTGGAAGTGGATAGGACACACACTGTGAAAAGGACCCAACTATGTCAGATGACAAGCCCACGCATGAAGCCCTCAAGGCAAAAGGAAAAGAGGAAAGCCAGCGGACACATTACGCTGAAAAACAGAGAAAGACATGAGAAGAATGAACAAAAACTGTAAAGAACTGGAAAGGGAAGCCCAGGACAGAGTTGGTTGGAGAAAACTGGTCGGTGGCCTATGCTACATTGGGAGTAACAGGCGTAAGTAAGTAAGTAAGTAAATAAATAAGCATCAGTTATGAAATGAGAGAATATACATACAGAGAAAAATGGTAAGAATTGTGAAGACGTGCTTGTGAAAAATTTATCTGATGGATTGATTTTCCTATTTTATGTGGTGTCTATCAACTTATTATGCCTGAATTGAAGTGTTGATGTTCTCACCCAGACTCGAACTTAGCGCCTTTCACCTCGAATGTTAATTAGTTACTTATTGAGCTATTAAGTCTACATAGTAAGTAGCTTGATAGTAATATGGACTGAACTTGTAAAAAAAAATTGACTCTATCAAGGCAACTGGCACAGAATCCACATATGCCAGCAAAGAGTAATTGATATTTCGTTCAAATGAACAATAACGGGACAATTTAATTCCTTTCTAATGGTTATATATTTGTCTAGATGGTTGAAATAAAATGGAATTTAGTCATACGTATATATTCAATTTCCAATCATTATTCAAATTATTCTCACTTGATATAATACATAACCAATCAAATGATACATATTTCTTTGTTTTTTTCAAATATTTATTGTTTAAACCATAGACAAGTCAAAAAATTATTTAATATTAGTTAGCATTTACTCAGTACATAACACTGACATATGGTATACTTTATCAGACAATATGCTAACTCACTCAACACGCTATCTACTTTAATCAACATTTGTATTTATAAATATGAGTGTTGAAATCTAATTTGATAATACTCGAATGCTTTGTGAACTGTATAGAAGTCAGTTCTCTTCAAAGATTCAAGTATATGAAATATTTCTTAAATTGTAAACGATGAGGGAATGATAGAATACAGTAATGTACCGTTTGAATCTTTTAATTACACCCCACACGGATGAACTCCACTGGTTACGGCTTCCAACTAGGACTCTGGGAATTTTTCTATGTCACTAGTCACTAGTCAGAATATGATAATGGTTGGGGCAGGGTTGTGGAGACTGCTGATTTTTATTGATATCGTAAATCAATCAGTGTTAGACCATCAGTAGAAACCTGTAAGCACAGGACATTCGTTTCATATTGGTATGTAACTCACCAACAGTGTGCATCTATAACTTCATGAGCAGAAATCGAACCTAGGACCTTCGGCTCGATCCACCATTTGAAAACTAAGTGCCTACCACGAGACTGGAAGGTCCTGAGTTCCATCTCTCGAATGCTTGCAGTTGAGAAGTCTCATTTCAGGACAAAACAGATGTCTAGTATCTCTTAGTTTGTAAATTTTATCTACTTAACATCAGTTCATGATGCATAATTAAACGGAATCAAATGTTATAAAAATTACGAATATCAATAGTATTTTAACTTATATTTTACAAAACGAACAAAAGTATATTTGAAGATTCTAAGCTAGGCAGCAATCCAATTTGTTACAACCCAATACTAATAATTATTATGTGCTCACTAACGTGGGGAAATTCTAGGAGTTCTAGTGAGAAGACATGACCAGAAGAGTTCAGCTATGTTGAGTTTCACACAGTAACCCAATAAAGACACTAGACGACGGTCGCGCATTATCGTGAATCTACTCAATTTAGACATTAACACCGTTGGATGTGGGCTCAGTGGTCTAAAACTAAAGCATTCGCGTTCGAAAGTCATGGGTTCGATTTTCACAAGAGGAGGTCGTGGATGCGCAACTCTAGCGAGTCCCACACTAGGATGAAATGGCCGTTCAGTGCTTCCACGTTTCCAATGACAGTCTAATATTAATCGATTCATGATTTCAATGAAACTCATCAATCTCCACAATTCTGCAACAACAGTATCAATAATATAACGTGGATTCATTAGGGACACCCATATGTATTTCATTTTATTAGTAAAACTGCATGACATAATCATAGAAATTTAATTTTTACACGAATGTAATAAGAGTAGAAGATCAAGTCCTATCCAACCATACAGAACAGATAAAAGTAATTAATGACATTTTAGAATTGATAATGAAGTTAATAGTAACTGCAAAAAGCAGTAGTGAAATATTTCTAACAATGATAATCATAGTTGTTTGTAATAGAATAAACGTTTCATGAAGATAAAACTGCCCAGAGCTGTTCTGGATCAATTCTAGAGTATAAAGTCTACTTGTTTATGATTTCAGTGAGTTATTTTTCATTTCTCAAACATTTTCCTATATAATAACTAAAAATACACTTGATATATACGTTAGAATTCTCATATGGCTGATTCAAAATCTGTTCTTACAGAGGAAGACAAACTGATTATTATTATAACTAGTATTTCAATCGCAAATAATTGACAAAATTAGTTGGATTATTTATCACGGATCAGTGTTTTACTGTATTGTATTAGCTTAAGATGATGACCAGCATAAGGGAGGGTCTCAAGTACAATTCTTAGATACTATGGATTACCATTAAGGAACCTACTGTTACAATGGACAGACAGTTAGACTGTAATCCTGTAAGTTGGTGGATAGATCCACAAATTTTACAACGAAACACACTTTAAATAAATTTTGTATCAAATATTTCAATCATGTGTAAATTTTGTAGAATGAAACGTCCCCTACTGATGAATGGCTACACTTTGTTTTTTGTATACCAGTTTATCAAGACTTTGGGCCATTGAATTTACATCCTAACCCTCACCCAGTCACATTAATCGTATTGCTGTGAGGGAGAACACAGGTGAGGGCAACCGAATTATATTTATCCCAAATTACAGAGTTAATAGTTAAACTAGGAAAACCATATCGTAAATCGTTAATTTGCAAAATATCAATCCATCATATAGAACTGGACTGTTCCTGTTGCAAACATCAATCCATTGTCTGACATTTCACTGTTCATGCGTTTCATACAAATCCCATTGTGTTTCCACTCTTCCTTTCTCGATCTTCCCCATGTTCTGCTGCCAGACATTACGTTTTTACTCGCGTCATATACTACTTATAAGTAGCGCGCACCACAATATTACGTGAATTCATCAATAACCAAGCAAACATTTATACAATATTTCTTTCTTTATAATTAAAATTACACAACGAACTCTATCAAGATAATAAATTACATAACAAGTTGAGAAATTCTATTAGAAGACCTGATTATGAAATTATAATAGTAACTGAAGACATGTTATAACAAGTTTCTCGTCTATCAAAATGATTACAAACATTATGCTCATAATTAACACATATTTGATTTGAATTAAATAAAGCGTTTTAATTGTTATTTATAGGATTCTAATCACTAAAAAGATAATTTAACTCGTCAATCCGGATGCACAACATGAACAGACCAATTTAACTGTTATGCCTGTCCCTTGATTTGCTTGAAACTATTACGAGTTCACCTAAGTCGTTAAACGAGAATGAGACAATGAACCAGTGACACGATAGGATACTCTGATCCGTTGCCGCAACTAGTTCAAGAAAAAGTCTTGATATGGCGTAGAAGGTGTATTCTACAATCACCCAGAAAATACTATGTTCTCAAGCACACAAATAGCGTACAAAAATAACACATCGACCAGTCACAGCCAATAATTTTCCTGGTGGAAAATGTAATCTCAAGGTAAACTGATCAGCCAATCAATAAAACCCAAAATTAAGGCCTTTATCAAATGAGATCTGGGGATCTAACGTTCCCAACATTAACTCATCCAGCATACATGACTGTCAAACTCATTATATTAAGCAATAGTGATATGCACTACAGTATCCCAACGAGATCGTTTACCCTACAAACCGAATTAGTACACGGACTATTAGCAAAACTTACCAAAGCAATGCCAAACCATCCACAATGTTCACAACGAACCTCTAGTCTCACAGGAAACCTTCAGCTCTATATGGAGGAATAAAGCAGTAACGTTCAAAAAGCAGAATAAAACTAATTCCTTCGCTATCTATCTGAATTCAGATAGTTGTCTATTACCGATCTCTCTAATCAAGTTCAAAGATTTGTGTAAACATATAGGAAAGTGTCTTTAGTGAAGGTCTTTCATCAAGAATGAACAAAAAATAATTTGAGATCATCATTAGTGTGAAGTGTTACACATAGTTGCATGTTAGTACTTTAACTTTTGGAAACAAAATATCCTTCAGTTTTTTCAAGTGTATTATTGTAAGTTGAACCGATAAAAACTCTTTAAACATGACATTCAACGTAAGTATCAGAACAAAGAAGACTGAAACAACCAACGTAGACCAACAAACAAAATCATAGCTACCAGGATGAGCTGATTTTCATGTACTAGGTCTATAATGAAACTTGTCTCCACTGAAAATTAAATATCAAGGACATTGTT